CAATGCTGGTATCCCATAGGGGCACCAGGTAGCATCCCAGCAGCTCTACTTAGGATCCAGCTCCTTGCTAATGTGCCTGGGAAAGCAGCAGAAGATGGCCCAAGTCCTTGGGTCCCTAGAGCCATGTGGGAAACTCAGAGGAAGCTCCTGGCTCCAGGTTTTGGCCTGGCCCACCCCTAACCGTTGTGGTCATTTGGGGAGTGAACCAGCAGATGGAAGATCTCTCTCCCTCACCCTAATCTCTCCCTCTCTGCAATTCTGACTTTCAAATAAATAAGGTAAATCTTTTAAAAAGAGAAAGAGAGAGAGAGAGAGAGAGAGAGAGAGAACGTGCCAACTAAACGGAGATTCCTCCCAGCTCTGGAACCAAGTAGTAGAAATGCATGTCATTCTCTCTGACAGCGTTCATCCGTGCATAAAGACAAAGCAATTTGTTAGCATATGCCATGTGCGATTTCATGTGTTAATTCATTAGTATATGCCATGTACAAATGTATATGATAATTTATTAGGATGTGCCTTATACCAGACGTTGGTCTGGGTACTGAGGAAGTGCCAATGAACAGAACACACGGCCATCTAGATCTTCACTAAGTTTGCAATTGTAGGTATTTGGTAGAATATTAGAAGCTATATGGGGATTATTTTATGGGCTCACAGCCTATCTCTGAGTTTAGAAGGAATCCCAAGTTTAACAAAACTAAATGCGCTTGGACAATAATGAATCACAAGTGAATCAAGTGCATTCAAACCAGAAGAGCATCTCGCCAAGTGCCTTGCAGTCTTCCAGCACACTTGTGTTCTGGATACAAAATCATAAGAGAATTGCTGAGACTGAACACTCCAGACAGCACAGCTCTTGTGGTCACAGTGAATCACCTAAGAAAAGCCTCCTTGCTTAACAATCATGTGAATGCCTTCCCAAGATCCCTGGTCATTTGCAGGATTATTGAGCACCTACGCCAATGTGGAGATTATATTTTTAAGCATTTTATTGAGGTAGGGTTGACAAAAACTATGAATATATGTAAAAAATACAACATGGTGACTTTATAGATATAAATATACATGTGAAGTATAATCATATTCTATACCATAAACCTGATCATCACCTCCAAAGGTTTCCACCTACATTTATTATCATCATTATTATCATAAACTGAATGTTGATAAGCATCTTAGTAGATAATCCAGACTCAGAAAGTACAGATTTTTGTTTTTTGACAGGCAGAGTGGACAGTGAGAGAGAGAGAGACAGAGAGAAAGGTCTTCCTTTGCTGTTGGTTCACCCTCCAATGGCCGCCGCAGCCGGCAGTCTGCGGCCGGCACATTGCGCCGATCCGAAGGCAGGGGCCAGGTGCTTCTCCTGGTCTCCCATGTGGGTGCAGGGCCCAAGCACTTGGACCACCCTCCACTGTACACACCCGGGCCACAGCAGAGAGCTGGCCTGGAAGAGGGGCAACCGGGAAAGAATCCGGCGCCCCGACCGGGACTAGAACCAGGTGTGCCGGCGCCGCAGGTGGAGGATTAGCCTATTGAGCCGCGGCGCCGGCCAGAAAGTATAGATTTTTAAAAAATTTATTTAAAGGCTATGTAGATGATGTCATTGTTTCAATGTGGAGTGAGGTTAAAAAAATTGTCTTAATTATTTAAAATTGGGATTTAGCTTTTAAACTACCATCTTATAACGTAGTAATTCTGTATTGATTCCTCAAATTCACACACTGTGGATCTAAGAAATCACTCAGGAAACTTTCTAGTCTGAAAGATCTGAATCTTTGTTATTCCAGCAAATAAATAACTTTTATTGTATTCATTTTTAAAAGAAGAGAGGTTACCACTGGTCTTTGTTATTTTTTCCTTTATGTCTACATTCTCTTTATGAATTGCTTGATGGATTGAAATAGTGATTTATTTCCAGCTTTTTCCAGGAATTCCATTTATAGATGATCTTCTAGGCTTGGGACAATGCTTTTTAAAAATCCATAAAGAAGATACAACTCTTTTTCCTCAGTGAACAATTCTTCATGTGTATTAATCATTGTCTGGAAAAAGTACACATATTGTCAGTGTGGTAAGTACTGCATAGTGACCTCAAATTTGGCTTTTCAAATTTTCTGGCCAAATTCTCAAGGGACAAAAAACACTATAATAAAGAGGTAGCAGGCATTGCAACAGTCATTGTATTGAACTGTTCTGCAGAAGAGACCATTAAATTCATTGCCATTGCCGCAAGCATGGAAGGTCACATCACCTGACGTCAGTACCAGCCCCACTTTGCCCAGCGGATTCATCACCCTTCTTACGACCATATTTTGTGATGTCTCTAGGCAGAAGAGCTTCTCTTGTGCCTCCTAGATGGAAATAATGCTGAATTTTCTTTGGTACTTTTTTTTTAAGATTTATTTATTTATTTATTTATTTGAAAGTCAGAGTCACACAGAGAGAGGAGAGGCAGAGAGAGAGAGGTCTTCCATCTGATGGTTCACGCCCCAACTGGCCGCCAACAGTCAGAGCTGCACTGATCCAAAGCCAGGAGCCAGAAGACTACTCAGGGTCTCCCAGGTCAGTGCAGGGGCCCAACGGCTTGGGCCATCTTCTGCTGCTTTCCCAGGCCACAGCAGAGAGCTGGATAGGAAGTGGAGCAGCTGGATCTCGAACCAGTGCCCATATGGGATGCTGGCACCTCAGGCCAGGGTGTTAAACCACTGTGCCACAGTACTGGCCCCTCTTTGGAACATTTAAAAATAGCTGCTTTCTACTGAATTAATTAGTGGTACTCACTAAATATTAACTTACTATTTAGGAGATGGCAAATATGCTCGTCCCAGGTAAGCACATGCCAAACACAGAGTTTGTAGATGGTTTGGGTTCAAGTGTACAAAACTGATTCAAAGACAGTGACTTAAGAAAAAAAAAATGGTACTCTTCAGGAACATTGATCCATGGAACTTCAAACTCCTGTGTGAAGATTTCTGAAAGCTAGGAAAACAGCTTTGACACATAGAACTCTGACCCTTTAAAAAAAATCCAAGAAAATCCCTGATCTACTCATGAAACCTTGATGTAGGAATCCCCAAGGCTTCCCTCTCCCACACAATGTCTCAGTCAGGGAAACAAAACTCACTCAAGTAGGAAGGGGTTCAATAAGATTGTTTATACAACTTGAGTGGAGTATAGTTACTTACACTGCAGGAATTTCAAGCCAAAAGACTAGAACAGCAGAACTAGTGCCCTTCCATGAGCTAAGACAGAGAGCATTAATTACATCTGCTCTTTAAATATATTTTGATAGAAATTACTGAAAGGAACGGCCGAGAGCCAAGGGCTGCCATAAGAATGGCCTTAATAAAACAGTCCTGGGAAATGGGGAGTAAACTAAGTTCACAGAGAAGGCAGATAGCTACTACCCAGAGATAAGGGCTACAGAACATCCTGGTACGCACCTAAGCCCCCTCCCCTGTGCTTGTTCAAGCTTAACAAAGAAACCGCGAGACACGTAGGGCACGTAGCCACCCCTTTCTGCTCTTCAAGGACCCCCTCCCCATATCCAAGCTTAGACACGCAGGGCACGTAGCCCCCTGTTTCTCCTCCTCCTCGACGACCTCCTCCCCTTGTAGTTGCCCAATAAACTTACGCCACCCTATGGTATGTTAATTTTGTGGTTTTGCCCTTTAAAAACTGTGTAAAATGATTGTTTGGGGCTCCTCTCTGCCCCCGCTGCTTGCGGCAGCAAGAAGAGGGCCCATTTGCGCAAATGAAATAAAACTGCCTCCTGCCTTTTGCATCGTCTGGCCTGGAGTCTGTGTTTCTGGGGTCGTCACAAAAGGACACCGCTTTTGGGGTCCTACAATTACCATTTAGGAGTCTTCTATTTCATAATCTCTCATTGTTTTCTGAGGCTCTTCTATTGGAGGTAACCTCTTTCTTGTTACCAAATACCCATCAATCATAGCTGACCTGTTGTAGTGAAGTTGTTTCTGTTTTTATGTCCTTTCTTGTATTAAATAAGATCCTTGAAGAGAGGATCTGTAATAGTGCATATTTATTGACAATGTTATTTGTAATAATAATTACTGTTTATTAAATCTCTTCAAATAATCAAATCAGCTTCTTCTGTATTTTTTTTACTCAATTTCATTTAATACCCCTAACAATCCTATGAAAAAATCACTCACTTTTTCAACTAGGACAGTGAGCCATCATTCAGTAACACACTCGAGCCAAGAATTTAACTCTGATTTGTTAAGCCTAAAGCTCATTTGTTTCCACAGTTGCCCCACTGCTATGATATCAGAGAATTATGGAGTGAAACAGGAACCTAAATGTTGTCATAGACATTTCTAATGATGGACAAGGATCTTTCAAACAGCCCGTTTGATTGTAGGAAACTCTACTGTTAGAAAGAAACTCCTTATAATGAACTCACAGGGCATGACACTTTCTCCACTTAGATGTGCTCCAATGTGACCAGAGTTTAGAAACCATACAAAGAAAAACTGTCTTTCCTTCAGCTAAACCTTGAGGAACTGCATTTCATCCAGCGCACTCCCAGAAGGTATCATTCACATGGTGCATAATGTGATGGCCCTGCTTTCAGCCGGAAGTTAGAATTTATTAGGCACTCAACAAACATTGACTGCTGATGTTGACACTCTGGTACAAATAGAAGTTTAAAATAATCATCTGGCCATCTGTGAGCATACTTCACAAAGTAAAGATAACAAATATATGACTTCTAGGGTGACTTATTATATGTCACCACTAGACCAATGCTTGGCTCATGATACGCACTGGTCATTTCATTAATAACAGCTGTTGTCAGGCATAAGAGTATTTGCGTAAGATACAATTGGAGGTAAGGTATGGTAAGATTCTGCCCTCAAAGAATTTTTACCTTTACATTCTCCTGAATTTTGTTGTCTCAATAAGAAATGCAATTTTCCATACCCACACTTTCTGAACTCTGAAACTACACAATTATAAAGAATTCCACTTACTCACTCAGAAATGAGCACAGGGTATCCCACTCCATTCTGCCATGTTTGAAAGACTAGGGAGAAAAGATAAAATTTTCTGACTAGACCGCTATATTTATGAGGTACAAAACCAGAAACCTGATGACAGTTTTATGGCCATTTCCTCAAAAACTATGCCTCCCAAAATGATAGGAACCAGACACGCATGGTCATTGTAATGAAAACTTTCATGAATTAGAACTTTAAAATTAGCTCTCAGTTATTCTAGAACAGCCACACTGAAAGTGCTCTATTGCCACATTAGCTGGATACTCCCTCTATGAATAGTGTAGATATAAGAAAATTTCTATCATCACAGGAAGTTCTATTAGGCTGCACTACCCTACTGTTAGGGTCTTTTTTTTTTTTTTACTAGATTATTTGTTTTTATTGACACACAATAATTGTACATATTTATGGGGTACAATGTAATATTTCAATAGGGTAAATCTTATCAAAACTCTGATGCTCCTGTGGGAGACAATTGCAAATCTCAATCTCTAAGCACCTTAAAGGACTCAGCATAAGAAATGGGCCTCTTGGATTTAGATAGTTATGGGGACTTTTTCAGAAAGACAGCTGCCCATAAACATTTCTAATGAATGGACCCTGTTTATTGTTAGACCCTGTTGTCCTTGCTGAGTCTACCATTATCAACCAGAGTACGTGGAATGTAAGGAATGCTAGAGAGAAAACTCAGTTAATTCACAAATGATATTAGCAATGGAAGCTGGGGCAGAGAAGCATTGACCTACCCAGAATTCCAAGGCTTTGCCTGACCTTAGATAACGTATGTACCTCTTCACAAAGCCCCAGTTTTGTGGTATTTAAATGGGTGTGTGATCCATTGTGAAAGGACAGAAGTAGCATATAAAGCACTATCCTTGCCAGGAAATTGGCAGGTGCTCTTTAGATGTCTTCTAGGACATGTGGAAAGTGCTCATGTGAAATGGTGAGCAAAATCATTTATTTAACCTGCACCTTGGTTTTTATCAGATATCCTCTTCCCTGAGATTTATTGCAAGGGTAATATGTGGTTATATATATTAAAGTACTTCACAAATTGTCAGAGAACATAAAAACACTTTTACTAATCTTATCTCTTCAATGAGGCTGATTATTTTCCAAACATATCTCACATGGATTACTGGTATAAAAGTGGATAATGCATGTGAAAGATTTATGAGGAAAAATGAAAAAGAACTACTCTAGTGCACAGCTAAGCTATTTATTATGCTCTATTTCATGCAGAAAATTTTCAGGTTAATCTAAGCACTTAACCTGCCCCTGTGACAAGGATGAACAGAAGTCAAATTGAACCAGCATGTTCCCAGGGGCCCAGACTGTCCTCCCCTCTTCCCCTCCCCACCTCTCAAGAGGTTAAGGGCTTTCCAGAAACAAAGGAAGTAATTAATCCTTGGTCAGCAGAACTCTGCATTTATAAAGATAGCAAATTCGGTCTGACATTTTGTATTTACCTTTCAAGCAGAGGTAGAGAGCTCATGAACGATTTGGAAAATTGTTCTACAGTGGCATCTGACCCATTTACAGCTGCAAGTGTGAGGCTGTCGATGAAGCCAGCAAATTGCCCCAAGTTCAAGGAGGCATCATCCTAAAGTTCCAATCTTCATCTTTTAAAGAAAAGAAAAAGTGAATAAATCTTGAATCTAGAATTTAAATGCCATTACTGCAAGTCAAACATCAGTGTTAATCCTCTGGCATTTTGGGAGTCGGCTAGCTGACTTTACTCATACTCTTGTTCTCACAGAAGGAAGAGGAACCAGAGGAAAATGAAAGTCTTTTCCTTTTCAATAAAGCATGGGCTTTATTGACAGCTCAGAAACTTCATTCCAGTGGAAGGAAATTGCAAGAACTGAAAGTCACACAGAAATGATCATCTGAATCAAACGTGGACACAATGACTGTCCTCCTTAGAAGCTAAAACATTTACAATCAACTGCAAAATCAGCCATGATTTGCAATTCACTCTTTTGAGAGAAGATTCTGAATTACATTGAACTTTGAAATGAAGGTAGGCTGTCAAGAATGCCAACATCTTTGAAGACAGTGTCTAGGGAATTGTTATTGTAACTACTTCCTCTATCTCCATGAGGAACTCATCCCTTAACACTTCCTAACTGACTGGTCCCATGAGTGTCTCTGCCTGAAGTGAGCTGTCTCAATTGATTCATTAATTCATTGATTTATTCAACTATCTATATCTCCACTAATCATTTTCTGCTAATATATTTCACTAGGTGGCAGTAATAAAATAAAACTGCATGCTAGGGGCCAGCATTGTGGTATAGTAGGTAAAGCCACTGCCCACAGTGCTGGCATCCCATATGGGCACGGTTCGAGTCCCAGCTGCTCCACTCCTGATCCAACTCTCTGCTGTGGCCTGGGAAAGCAGTAGAAGATGACACAAGTTCCTGGACCCCTACACCTGTGTGGGAGACCCAGAAGAAGCTCCTGGCTCCTGGTTTTGGACTGGCGCAGCTCTAGTCATTGCGGCCATCTAGGGAGTGAACCAGTGGATGGTAGACCTCTTTCTCTCTCTCTGCCTCTGCCTCTATGTAACTCTGCTTATCAAATAAATAAATAAATCTTTTTTAAAAACCACATGCTAATGTAAGTCCTCTTTTAATGCCCTTCCTATCCTTCATCCCAGAGACTATTTATTTAGTTAATGTCTATTTATTTATTTTCATCTACTTTAAAGGCAGAGTGATGGAGAGGGAGTGAGATGTCCAATCTACTGGTTCACTCACCAAATGCCCACAACAGCCAGGGCTGGGCCATGCTTAAGCCAAGAGACCAGAACTTCATCTACATCTCCCAAGTAGGTAGCAGGGACCCAAGCACTTGAGTCATCATCCACTGCTTCCTAGGCGCTTAGCAGGAAGCAGAATAGTTGAGATTTGACCCGGCACTCCACTATGTAATGTGGACATCCAAAGCAGCTGTTTAACTCACTCCACCACAGCACCCATCCACCCTGGGATTCATTAGAGACTATCTAAATAGTTCACCATCACAGCTGATTTTTGGTTGGAAAAGCTGGATTTCTTCCTGATAAAGCAAATCCTATTAATTTCCTACACATAGCATAGTCAGTGGTCTAAATACTATTTTCCCTACAAGCCTTCAATTTTATTCATGAAAAATGATTGTGTTTTAAGAAGAGACGGGGATTCCACATGGACCTCTGTGTCTCCTTTTCTTAAATTATGCCCCAGATCAGTAGATCCCCCCACGAGATAGATGGGTGCTTGCAATTTTCAGTGAGAGAAGCCAACTAGACTGAGTTTCTACAGCAGAGCCCCACACAGGGCTGTGAATGGCTCATAGGATCAAAGACAGAGAAGCTGTGAGCCAGATTCCTGGATGTGAGGGAGAAATTTTTCAGACCTAGAGTTTCTGGGCTTTAAAATTGACTTCTCTCACTGTTGCAAATCCCAAACCAGATGCATGGTATTCTTGGTGGTGGCATTAACATGGATTTGGTTATAAAAGCCAGGTTTTTTGGGAGTTGTCCCCTCCCTCCTCACCATCCCACCCACTCATCTACTCTATCCCCTAGACCAAACACCTCCACCTCTTAGATTTGTCTCCAGTGTATCATCACAGCACCGCTCAAACTGCCAGCACCCCAGTTCAAGCTGTCAGCATCCTCTGCTCAGATCACTAAAAAATCTCCTATCTCGTCTCCCCTCATCCACTTTTGCTCCCTCCAACCTATTTTCCCTCAACATTCACAGTGAATTTGGAGATATGACAATAGCTACGCCATACTTAATGCAGTTTGTCAGTTTCCTCTTGCTATCTTTAGAAAATGCCAATTCTTAATTTGTGGGAGAAGCTCCAGATGAGCCCAGCCCTCTCTTACCTTTGTCTCCAAATGCTACCTTACCTTCCCCTACTGCTTTCCTTCAGTTCCTTAGATATGCAAGCCTTCTCTCCACACCAGAATCCTCACACTGCCAGGCTAGAGATTAGACTAGGTGACTGCTTACCTTATCTATCTCTGTGTGAATGAGTGGGTTGGAATGGACTAGCCAAAACTAGGCGGCTTTAGCTACTTTTGATCTAAAGAAGAAAACACTACCAAGAGGTATAGGATCAGCTGTGCCATGATCTTCACAGAGCTTAAAATTCATTCTCTGTTTTTTGTTTGGGCCCCACTGCCTCCCTCTTTTTCTTTTCCCAGTTTTATCCCAGTGAAAACAAAGGGTTGGACTCCATGTATGCAAAGAAACCATTTGATAAGATTCAACATCCCTTTCTGATAAAAAACTTCTCAACAAATTAGGTAGGGAAGGAACATATCTCAAGATGATAACAGCTATGTATGACAAATGCACAGCCAATATCATTCAGAAAGGGAAAAAGCATGAGCATTTCCCCTGAAATCTGTAATAAGACAAGGCTGTCCACTTTCACTCCTCTTCTACAACATAGTTTTGAAAGTCTTAGGATAAAAAGGTAGGTATTAACCTATTTGTGAGAAGTGCAGAAGAGCAAAAATAAGATGTTCCTGTGGTTGATTGGGAGTTGAATGAGGGAAGAAACATAGAAGCATACCTCGGAAGCAACTCTGCATTTACATATCAAAAATCTTGCTCATGTCCAATAACCTTGTAGGTGGGTTCCAGACCTCCCTAGGGATATCCTAGGAGAATTTTTCCCACCTACTGCCAGGGAGGATATTTGGTTCAGTAACTCTGTGTGGATTGATACAGGTTTAGGGGGAATTTCATGAGTTCCACTTCCAAAAGCCCTTCTTCCAGCAGTATCCCTGAAGCAGGGGGGTTATGTGTCCACACCCATAACAACTTCAATCTGAGTGCAGACTGCACTCTCATTTCTTTGTTGAGATGCTTACCTGGACTGCCAAGTGTATTTTCTCATTAATCTTCACTAGCACGCTTATTGTCCATCTCTGTCTCACATCTGAAATTGTTTTCTTACAGGAAAAAAAGAATCTGTGCTGCAGCCATTTCTGGTAACAGAAGTACTAGCAAAAGCAATTACAGAAGAGAAAAAGGGCATCAAGATTGTAAAGGAGGAAATCAAAATATCCATGTTTGCAGATGACATGATTTTGTACATGGAAAAGGTTGTTAGAAGTGATGAACCAGTTCAGCAAAGCCACAGGCTACAAAATCAACAATCAAAAACAGTGACATTTTTATACACCAATAACAATCTCACTGAAAAGAAAGAAGAAATACAAATATTCAACTGACATATAGGGGAATATGTTCCATATGATTAGCTATCAGGGAAATGCAAATCCAAACCAAAATGAAGCATCACCTCACCCCTGTTAGAATGGCTAGAATCAAAAAGACAGAAAGCAACAAATGCTGGTGAGCATGTGGAACTCTTACACACTGTTGGTGGGAAAATTACTACAGTCGCTTTGGAGAACAGTACAGAAATTTCTTTAAAGATTAGAAATAGAATTGCCATATGATTCAGCAATCCTACTACTGAGTATAAATATTTAAAAGGAAAATAAATCATTGTATCACATAAACACCTGCTCCACCATGTTTACTGCACACTGTTCACAAAAGCCAAGATATGGAATCAACCAAGGGATCCATCAGATGAATGGAAAAGACAATGTGATATAAACACACACACACACAATTAAGTACTATTCACCTATAAAAAAGAATAAAATCCTGACACTTACAGCAAAATGCATGGAACTGGAGGACTCTGTGTTAAGTGAAATAAGTCAGACAGAGAAAAATAAAAGTATCAAATATTCTCACATGTGGGAGCTAAAAGAACAACCTAATTTTAACACAGATTGGTGATTATTAAGACGGAAGGGTGAGAGTAATGGAAAGAGTATGGATTTTAAAAAGGCGGTGAGGGAGAGTAGACCTGGGCATGGTTCATTATCTATGACAAGTGTATCCTAACCATGTAAGAAGTTAATAATAGGGGAAGCAGGGTATGGAGTACTTGGGAACTCATTACTTTAAAATTTTTGTTTTGTAAATTCAAAACTGTTCTGAAATAAAAAGTTTATTAAGAAAAAAAAAAAAAGAAGGTGGGGTCAGCACTGTGGTATAGTAAGCAAGGCCTCTGCCTGCAGCGTCAGCATCTCATATGGGCACTGGTTCATGTCATGATTGCTCCTCTTCTGATCCAGCTCTCCGCTTATGGCCTGGAAAAACAATAGAGTATGGCCCAAGTGCATGGGCCCCTGCATTCATGTGGGAGACTCAGAAGGGGCTCCTGGCTCCTGGCTTTGGATCAGCCCAGCTCCAGCCATTGTGGCCAACTGGGGAGTGAACCAGCAGACGGAAGATCGAGCTCTCTCTCTCTCTCCTTGTCTCTCTCTCTCTCTCTCTCCCTTTCTGCATCTAACTCTGCCTCTCAAATAAATAAATAAAAATCTTTAAAAAAAAGAAAATAAAAAGAAAGGATTATGACACCTATACCTGTCTTCAAGAAGCTCATAGAAAAATCTGTGTATATATATATATATAGAGAGAGAAGAAGTTATATATAACTTCTTATATATATGTTATATATATATATAACTTATAACTTAAGTTATATATAACTTCTTCTGTATATATATATATATAAAGCTATACATGGATTT